GGTTTCGAGCCGCAGTGGGCCTGGGTGTGTGTGTGGTGTCTTCATTTCTCCCCTTCTTCTGTGTCAGTACCTTTTAGCACCTGCCTGCTTTTTCCTTCTGACCTGCAGTCTGTGGACAGGCCTCTATCCTTTCTCTAACGTCAGCCCGAGGGTCTTCACGGGAAATGGACCCCTTCCGGAAGCGGTGCCCCGATTCCCCAGACGGCCCTCGCGCGGTTCCTTTCCTGGGTCGTTGTAGCTTAGTGGCTCTGTCCACACCTGAGGCAGGGCTGCCCTTGTCCACAGGAGGCATTTGTTTAAGTAGCCGGAGCACACTCTGGTGACAGTTTGACTCCTATAAATAGATGAGCGTCTGACATTCCCATGCACGTCTATTTTATTTTAACCACTTGTCTGTGCCGACCCAGACAGCCGTCTGCCGAACTGCTGGCCAGGCGGAGCTGCGGTGCGAGGAGAGGCTGCCCTGGGGGAAGACAAAGGCATCGTTTCCCACTTGGCTAAGTTTATGCAAGGAAAACATCTTTCACAAATAGAGGCAGAATCCAACTGCTGCTTTTTCTTTACCTCCAATTATTGGTTTAAATTCTTTTTCTCTGGGACTCTTAAAACGTTCGTGGGCAGAGCACACTGTCCCATCTCCATTAGGTATTTCATACAAGCGAGAGAAGGTATTTCTAGATCTCAAAATATACTCAGTCTCAAAGATTTGCTTTGGGAGGGATATCCCATCTTGCGCTTTCCTTAGCAGCACAAAAGCTCTTCGGAATCTTTATGGGATCCTCGCCGTAGGGAGCTGGCGCTGGTGGGCTCAGTGAGGGGCCAAAGCTGCCGGCCTTTTGGGTAAATGAGGTGCCAGGGCCATGAAGCCAGAGCAGCCACTCAGCACTTGGTATCAAACCTGTGTCACCCTGGTGTTCAACTGCTTGTGAGAAGTCCCCATATTCTCAATTTTAAAAGCAAATAGGCTGGTGGCAGTGCTCACACCTGTAATCCTAGCACTCTGGAGAGGCTGAGGCAGGAAGATATTTTGAGCTCAGGAGTTGGAGACCAGCCTGAGCAAGAGCGAGACCCATCTTTACTAAAAATAGAAAGAAATTATCCAAACAACTAAAAATGGAAAAAATTAGCTGGGCATATGGTGGTGCACACCTGTAGTCCCAGCTACTCAGGAGGCTGAGGCAGAAGGATCGCTTGAGCCCAGGAGTTTGAGGTTGCTGTGAGCTAGGCTGACACCATGGTACTCTAGCCCAGGCAACAGAGTGAGACTCTGTCTCAAAAAAAAAAACAAAAAAAAAACAATGCTAATTTCTGTAATCGTGTTTTTGCTCAGCATCGGGGAAGCGGTCACGCCCTTCCGCCACCACGGGGACGCGGCTGCCTAGCAGGCAGGGCAGGCGTGGTGGACACCTCCCACCCGCACAGGCTGGACGGGAGGCGAGCGCCCGCCCAGAGCATGGATCGATGGACAGGTCTGCCAGGCCTCAGAGTAGAACTAACCGGCAGGAGGATGGTCTGACCAGGCTATCAAAAAGCAGCTCTCAAGTGAACTGGGACAGCAACTAGACCAGGAAAACTAATTCCAGCTGCTTCTTGCAGGCGCCTGCGTCTTGCTCTGGGACGAGAGCGTCTGGGACGCGGGCTCAGGACGGGCGAGGGCGGGGCAGGCGTGTGCGCCCACGGGCGCCTCCCCAGATAGGGCGGGGGCTGGCCTGGCTCCATAGGTCCCGTGTGGCCCATGCCGTCTGGAACCACCTCGCAATCTTCAGGACGCAGCTTTGCAGGGAAACGCGCAGAGGAAACGCTGACAGACGCCAGCGCCAAGGGCTGCAACTGTTGCCACGCGCCGGCACAGGCAGCTGGAACACAGCTAAGCGCAGACACCCCGTCTGGACCCCGCTTCACCACCACGCACCGACACGGGCAGCTGGATCACAGCTAAGCACAGACACCCCGTCTGGACCCCGCTTCACCACCACGCACCGACATGGGCAGCTGGATCACAGCTAAGCGCAGACACCCCGTCTGGACCCTGCTTCACCACCACGTGCCGACATGGGCAGCTGGATCACAGCTAAGTGCAGACACCCCGTCTGGACCCCGCTTCACCACCACGCGCCGACATGGGCAGCTGGATCACAGCTAAGTGCAGACACCCCGTCTGGACCCCGCTTCACCACTGCGCACCGACACGGGCAGCTGGAACACAGCTAAGCCCAGACACCCCGTCTGGACCCTGCTTCACCGGCAAGGGCAGTAGTGGGCGCCGCTGCCTGAGGAACCTGCCATGGCTGGGTTTCCAGGATGAGGGACGGGGCAGAAGAGATTCCTTGAACCAGAAGAAACTTAGAAATGAGCAGGTCCCAGCCCACTAGTTTTGCATAAGAGGAGACGGAGCCTGGGAAAGCCAGTCAGTCACAAGCAGACCTTCTGCGGTTATAAAATCTTTCTAATGTGCACCCAGTGGGGCCCACAGGTGGCTGCAGAAACAGGCGCGGCCGGGACCTGCTTGAGGCCAGAAGACGGGACCCTCTCTGGGGTGCTGATGAGCCCAGAGGCCGCTTTAACGCCGCACTTCATGAAAGATGGGATCGGGGTGTCACGGATTTTTTTTTTTTTAAAGAGATTGCTGAGTGTTATCAAGAAAGGTGGAACCCAGGGGCTGGAGACAGGCTGAGAGCGGGCGTGGGCTGGAGGT